TTGATAATCGATTCAAATGCTTCGATCAGTTTAATTAGGCGATTTGTATGAGCTTTTGCGCGAAAATTACTTTAGTCGTTACACGGCGATTAAACATAATCGACTAATTATTGGTTACTGTTGTGGATAATTGAAAACGCATTGTTCTGCGGAAAAAAAACCGCTTGTTGCCTTAATTTGAATTTTGAGTGCGGAGCCATTCGCCACTGCGTGAAAGAGACACAAATCAACTTCATGCCTGATAATGATATTTCGAAAACTCATTAACGACTTGGGTGCGTTGGAAATTTATGTTTTTCCGGCAGGTTCTTTCCTCGAGCCGGCTCTTTGAGGCCATTGAGTCAGCTGGGCCGTTTGCCCACATTATTTAGGGGCATACGAGTAATTTATCATGGTCAATTCAGATCCCACCTTACACATCGTCGCAGTCTATTGAATTTCTTTTTTGGGAAGCCTTTGGGCAACGTTGTGTGGAACGGTTCCTTTCAATCGGCGCGATTGTGGAGAATGATTGATAATACAACAGGATCTATCGTGTAATATTCTCTAGTTGTATCGCCTTTCGCTTGTTTGAACATGTAATCGCTGATGGATGTTTAGATATGCCGAAGAAAGTGACACTGTTAAAAAAGATTAGTGTTTGGAATGTCGAAAAATCAGTGCTGAATGAAATGAACTTTTGACTCCCTTCTTAAAGTCGGGTCTCATAAAATGCTGCTCGCATAACAGGCACACACGCGCGTATTTCATTTCATCACAGTGACCAAGACCTAAACAGACCATTCGTTTGAAAATTAATTTAGCAATAAACCAGCGTTCTTTTCTAAAAGGCTCTTTTGTTCCGAGATTAAATCGCTCGGCGTCAAGTTTGGTTGACCTGCCGGCCGCTATCAGGCAACTGATGCGATTGCGTTTTTCTGATCGTAATCATTTAACAACATGAAATGACAGCTCCTCCAACCGAGTCACGTTCCACTCGTGGATTTATTCCGCCTGTTTCCAAGTGTTTCGGAGTGACGAGTTTCACTTGGCAAGTAACTGCATCCATAATTTTCCGCAAACAGGTAACAGAGCTGCTCCAGAGAAACGGTTCTTTTGCGCTGCTCAAGCGGCCGTGTAAACGCGAATTCGGCTTATTTATCTGGCGTTGCGTTGTTGTAACAGCAGGTGATGAATGGCGGAGGAAATTACAGAAATAAAGTGCCGCCACCGCAAGAAACTAGGCCCCCACCTTTGCTAATGACTTTCTGGCCCTGCTGGATCCGATCTGGATCGGCAAAGGGTTAGTTCCGGCACAAGTTTCGGGTTCAAGGTGCAAACGATCCCCGGTTAATTAAGCGGGTCGCTGAACGTCGACCCCCGGCTCTGTTTTCAGAATGTTAATTAATTATCGCAGGCATCCAGCGATTTTTTACGGGCATATTTTATGGAATAAGCATCAAGGCAATCCCATTGGAACCGACTTTGATCAGGCCTTGAGCCTTTGAACACCAGTTTTCACAGCCAACACAGAATATCATTTGATTACATGTAAATTGAACCTCAATAGGGCGTTTTCACTTTTTTTAAATGTTGATATATAGAAAGTAGTTATGGCAAACATTGCACTGATATAATTTTTGCAACAAAAGTCTCCATAATAATTTTAAAGCGAACTTAAATTCAAATCAGATATTTTCCGCCCAAAACGCCGAATCCGTATCGTCGGTTGCCTATCCCGATTGTGACGTAGCAAGTCATATCAGCAAAGTGGCTCGTGTTTATTTTGTTGTTTTCGCAGCTTTGTTTTATTATTTAAGTTATTGTGATTATCATTATTTTTTTACAAACTTCTTGTTGGGTATTTCGCCTCAAAAATTTTTGTCTTTAAAAAAGACAGAATTTCCTCACGTCTTCTACTACAGATTATTTATCAAAACGAATTATTTATCAAAAAGTAATCAAGAACTATCACCTAGAGGGTATCCTGCGACACACTTAGGCTCAAGCTGTAAGAGAAAATTCCAATTA